GAGAAATATGTTCCAGAAATTAAATGTCACTGTCCGAAGACCCCATTTCTCCTCGTTGGTACGCAAATTGACAGAAGGGCTGAATACACGGATGGCAGTTATCAAGGCAAACCCATCATGTTTGTGCAAGGTGTCAAAGCCGCGAAATCGCTGGGAGCGGAGATGTATGTGGAGTGCTCAGCGCTTACACAACAAGGACTTAAAAATGTGTTTGATGAATCCATCCTGACAGTTTTAAATCCTCACAAAAAGAAGCGGTAAAAGCTAAAAATGCTTCGCTGGTTTAAGTGCGTTTCATCTAACACAACGTAACAGTTACGACGCAGTCGTACATCAAGTTATCAAAACTTTAATGACTATATGGACATAATTTTTGGCAGACAAAATAGAAAATACAATCATGATTTTAATAATCATATATAATAATCAATTCCAGTGTCATGGTTAAGTATCGCTAATTAGTACTATATATTATTTATTAAAAATAAACTTATATCAATATTATTTTGCAATTGTATTGTCGATAAGACTGTTTATACTAATATTTTGATATATGATACAATAAAATTCTGTATTCCCATGTTTGTTTATAATTGAAATTAAAATCCGAATAGCATGTGTTTTACACTTACGATTAGTGGGCGTAGTTCTCGTGTATTCGCACACTATGTTCCTGGCTCAGTATCTTCTGCAAACGATAGACCATCATAACATTTGCTTGTGCTGTTATGTTTATAGAAAATTATAAATCACTATTTCCAAACAATATCAACACCATGAGCGTTAATCCCCCTCCAAACACCAATTACCCATGCAGCTATGAGTGTGCTTTGACGCTGACGTTTTAACCTCCATTACATTGAAAACTAGTGTGTCTATACAATATCAGCAAATACGTTTTTGCCGAAAATCAGACTAATTATATCTAGGTCATGGCAGAGTGAGATTTGTGTAAACACAAATTATGTGGTTTAGGAATTTCTCATCATTGTAATGAAACCGAGAAGACAAACTACTGTAATTGCATTTACCGTTCCAATATTTTAGATTGACTTCTTGGAAAATCACATATCGAACCATCAACATTAATATCGCCGAAACATATCGAAAATAAATACATAAACCTCAACATTTTGACTTACGATATACTCCACATTCAGTCTACAACTGTGGGTACATTACCATAAAGTATGTTGACATTACATTAGCGCGACCTAAAACTTGATTCATTCGCATGCATGAGCTGGTATGACACAGTCTGGAACACAAAAAGTAACGATCATCGTCAGCTAAACAAATGGTTTGCTCTATAAATACGTAAGCACATTCGACTTTGACCTGGTCACATGATGGGTGTCTTTCGTGCATGACTCATGTTTGGGTGACATTCAGTGTCAAACTATTTCGTTTTTCTACTTGCGCAACCCCATGAGCTGCTTGTGAGTATACATACACGTCGTGGCCACAGTCTGTTGTCTCGTTAAACCGTTATTGTCGTCGAGTTATTACCTATTGAGTAACTTAGTGCGTTGACTCTAGGTCACCTTAGGTGAACCGGCGTTTTATACCAGTCTCAATACTTTTAATTTATTTCTCACATGCATCAAAATGTACTACTGTGAAATTTCACGAGTAAATCAAATACTGTGTTTTTGGGAATTAAATTTTAATGAAGCAATTTTAAAATTGTACTCTATTGTTTATGAGTGTTAATACTCGCATTTTACCTCCGCCATGATTAAACCTGAAGTATTACCTAAGTATTTTTGATGTCGCTTTTACTTTCGAGTCTCCAACCTATTTGTAATGTTCTCATTGCGCAATTTACTGTCAACAGCTTACGTATTTCTACAATTGTCTCCCGCCGTGGACTGCTAGTAAACGCGACGTAGCGAACGGAGCAGACCAATATTGTCTGATGTAACTTACCCTTCGCTACGCCAGTGCTGATGTTATTTCTTTCGACAGCATTTTATATCACTTCACCAACCTACTAAATTTAGAACAGGCCTCTGATTGGTCAACCGGTTGCTAAAACACTGATTGGCAGAATGACCTATTACTAATTCCGGGCGCATGCGCTGAAATCATGCAGTATATAACTCGGTGGACTTTGTACCAACAACGTTAAACCCGGAACTCCACACAGACTCGAGACCTGTTGCCGCTGATGAATTACATAGGATGCAGAAGTTTAAAGACAAAAAAACAGAAGTTCTAAAATGTGTAGTAGTCGGCGATGGAGCTGTCGGGAAAACATGTATGCTTATAAGCTACGCCATGAACAAGTTCCCAACTGACCACGTACCGACTGTGTTCGACAATTATGCAGGTATTGCCCGTTGGCATCTGTGTTTGCATCTGATCTACAATTTGTTAACACTAATGTGTTTACACGTATCTCTGGTTTTCCCTGGGTGGTTGTAGCCTGTCAGAAGTACTAGTGGACTACCTAGTTTGCTATCAACTTGTGGTCTCAAATGTGTTACTATGTGCTTGACTGGTCACGAGTATGTGTTATGAAACGCCAGTCTTCGAGCTATGTATATTTAAATTTGACAATACTGATGCCAAGGATTACACAAGTCGTTTCAAACAGGTGACATGTTGATAACGTGCCAATCATCGTAAATATCGCGCGTATATTATTGCCCAACACAGTACAGAGTCCAATTATTATTTAGTTAACCATGTCAGAAACGATTTGACAAGTTGTTTTCTTTGACACTCATGCTGGCAGTCATTTGTCATTATTTTATTTCACCATAACTCCAAAAACAAAAAGTACACATACAGATACGGTTGTGAAGAATCATCATTATTTATTTATTTATTTATTTTTTTGATAGTTTGTCTGTATATTTGTATAATTAATTATTTATTTATTCATTAATTCAGCTTAGTCCTAATTCGCAGTCTTTATACATATGCAAACAGCCTTATGTCACTTTTTAATACACAGATCTTTCAAATAATTTAAACAAATTAAAATAAAAAGTACTCAACCAGTCACGATATACTATTTCTTCGTCCTATGTCATCGACAGTAAACAGTTTTTGGTGTGACATCATATCTCCATCATAAAATAGCCATAGTCACTTAACACAACAATCATTTTCTCGAAAATGGGTGTGTACAACTTGTACCGTGTTCACACGTGTGCCAAAAAGCCGGTTTGGAGGCCAGCTTTTTAGTGAAGCTGGTATTGAAACACGTGTGAACAAGATAAGCCCGCGCCAAGCCGATTTAGTTTAAACCACCCTTAAACAATGGCAAATCTCGACCGGCACCCCGTTCTTACCGAAACGACAGGTCAAGTCAGGTCACTCCAGCCTGTTGGCCGTTGGGGCACTTTGACGAGTCCACAATTCTCTCCAGCCTTCGCGGTCCCTCGTTAGTCCGACATAGGACGCTGCGCTTCGTTTCGTACAAGCCACGATATCTCTCATCCACGTTTTTCTTAGCCGGCACCTGCTTCCTTCAACTGCTCCGTAAATTATGTCATAAGCAAGAGCCCCAGACCGTCGTGTAATATGACCGAACCTTTGCAGTTTTCTTCATTTCGCTGTCTCCAAAAGGGGTTTGTAGATGCCAATTTGCATGATGATTTGTTTTCCCATTCCTTGCAACTATTTTAAAGAAACATGGCGGCCGATAACTTACCGGTTGAGTTTAGTCTTCATACGCGTATTAACACAGGACCAATCATGATTAAAACTTCTGATAACGGTTGTGGCACGCGTGTGAACACTGCATTATTCTTTCACCAATGGATACATTCTGACCATTTACACGGACGTCTACCTCAAAATTTGAATGCGCGCGGTGAGACAAATTTGGCACTTTGTGCTACAATCTCAAAACTGAAACTGAAACTAGGGTACACCGGCAATACAAATAATTATGTTTGAATGTTTGTTTACAGTAAATACAACCATAGATGAAAACACGCATGTACTTCAGCTATTTGATACAGCAGGTCAAGTAAGTGGCATTCGGTATATATTTAAATAATAACGCATGTTTGTGAGGGTAATATCACGATTTTCTGGTCATAATCATAATATAGATTGATGCCAGAGCCGAATATTGCCCGAATGACCATGTGTTATTTATTTTATCACATCGATAAGACACTTCGCAATGGGCGTCTTTCGCAGTCAGTGATATTAGGAAGATTTTTTAAACTGGCTTGGCAGTTCCCACCACCAATTAGACAATGTCACAGCATTTTGGTTATTTTTTCAATACATCCAAAATCACTATCGATAATTTTGTTGACATTTGTACGGTGATTACATTTAAATTTTTGATAATTTTAATGGGTATACATATTTTAATGCATACATATACACTCACAAATATAGTATATAGCCTTGACAAAAAAGCATCTTTTTCGATCTGTGTAACTTCATGTGGAATCTTGCTAATAAAGTTTTGGTTTCAATTTACGTAGCTATCGCCGAGAAAATTTGAAAAATCTTTCTTTCTAACAAGCCGGAAATCAAATTAGTACAACAATGCGTTTGACTTTTGTCGCCACTTATTTTTCCTCTTTTCCAACACCACATACAACTAGAATATTTAAACAGTTGTTCACGTGAATTAAATTGCGTTTTTAAAGTCTCTCGAGTTTGACTGCAGTCGCACCAGAGATACCCAGGACATGAAACGTACGTCGTGAAATTCACGTGCATTAAATTGTGTTTTTTGTGGAGTCCCACAAATTTGTTTTTGACCTTTTTCAACCATTCCCCACTAGAGTGAATTACAGCACTAATATTTGTTCCCCGGGAATCTTCGCCGGTATTTTCGGTCGAAAACAAAAGGGCGATAAGAAGTGATTTCCAAGGAGGTCGTTTGGTTTGGATCGAACGATTTCTTTTGTTTCAAGGTGGTTGTGTGCCTAGAAACGTAGTAGTACGTTTTCAGCAGAAACAAAACTGTAGAAATTTGTTGCATTCTCCGAGGCGAACTGATGGGGCAGGTATTAGCAGAATTCACGCAAAATACTAATTAATCTATTTGTTTATTTGCAAATATCTTTTTATTTTATTTTATTTCTGTGTTCTCTTTCTTTATTCTTTTTCTCTACCTGTTTAGGAAGAGTATGACCGCCTCCGTATTTTGATGTATCCGTTAACGGACGTATTCCTGGTGTGCTTCTCAGTTATGAGTTCAATCTCTTTTGAGAATATAGAAGAAACTTGGGTGCCGGAAATTAAGCACCACTGCCCAAACACGCCGTTCGTCCTCATAGGTACACAGACCGACAGAAGAGTTGACTATGTGACGGGTGTCTATCAGGACAAACCCATCACGTTTGAGCAAGGTGTCAAAGCAGCACAGTCAGTAGGTGCCGAGACGTATGTTGAGTGTTCGGCTCTCACACAAGAGGGACTTAAACATGTATTCGATGAAACTGTCCTGACGGTGTTGAATTCGAGAAAGAAAAAACGATATCATAGAAGATTGAAAATTGGTTGCATCGACTTGAACTGTTTCAAATAAATAAGTTTCATACATTTTGAATATAAATCACTTTTTAAACCACACACTTTAAATGAGATAATGAGGTGATCAGAATGTCCTATTATAAATGTGTAGAACGCTAGACATTTGATTTAATAGAAATTGTATTTGGTTCATTACCAGGAAAGATTTAAATTTAAATAAAAACAACTTTGTTTGCCTTCTTTTTATAACCAACTTGACAATAGTTTAAGAATTTAACATATGTATACATTAACAATTTCTTCATTTCGTTTGGGCTGTTATGTTAAATTTGTCCAATGACAAAAGCCAGCAAAAGTAAATACTGTTATACTCTAATATCGATTGGAGATTTTCGAAATTGATACTGCCTTACCTTGATCCTTTTGTCAGAGGTACGTGATGTATGATTTATTGGCAACCTTCAAGTGCCAAACCTGAAGCATTCTACATAGAGTGATCGTAATGTATTATGGAAAGCACGTATTCGGGTATCGTACTACACTGTTAGCTTTATCATTGTTTTACTTTTAACAAATTAATTATTTGCATGCAATAGTGGCATATCAACCTAACTTTGTGAATAAATTTGCAAGTATTTGCAAAACAACTGTGTCTACTGCGAATACGTATCTTGGTCTATGCCATCCAGATTGTTGGGACATTACATATTAAATGTTTTTTTTTTATAATGTGCGTCACCTGGCTTATTACCTTTGTGTGTATTTTAATTAAGGTAGAGATGCAGCTTACCTGACAGGTATTTTAATTAGTTAATTAGGAAACCAAGATGACCTCCTTTGTCCACAAAACTGTATATTTTCGGAAAGCTTATTGTATGAATTTTAAAATTTTGTTAGGATTTTTTAATGGACACTGTAGTTTGAAATATGCACAAAAATGTGCTTTTTTGGTCAAAAGTGATTTAAAAAAAATTAGCTTCTAAACCATGCTTCTGTTTCCTGTCATCTCTGTTTACTATGAAGAAAGTGCCTTCTTGAAAACTGTCTACCATGAATTAACACCCAGGCTATTTGTCTGTACGATTGTTGTAACACTGTTCAACTCAAAACAATGCCCGACGGCGTTTTAAAGATAAACACATTGATTGCATTTGTGAAAATTTCAAAACGAAAGGTCAAAGCGTCTAGAAGCCATTTTTTTTAAAGTTCTGGGATGTGCACTAAAAAGAAGCTGAGATAATTGCTAATTTGCATAACAATTCACTCAGTAAGAAGTTTGATAATGCTCATAATTAACAGTTTCAAATTTAAATGCGTTATCGTTTTGTTATATGGAGACCCCGTCATTTCGTTTTTTCACCATGTTTCTTTTTTATTATTTATGTACAACCTTGCTAAATCATGCTAAACAGTCAAAAGAGAATGTCTGCACCTGTTATCTTTATTTTAAAACCGTTTTTTGAGTAATTTCCACTATTCACAATTCTACACAATTTTAACAGTCTATATCAAGACTGTTTGGATAAAAAAATACAAAAAAAAAATTCACTCCCAAGTGCCCACGAGCCTTAAATGAAATCGTTTATGCTAATTGAACTGAAAATAAGAAAATTATTCGTATTGAAGTACAATCCTCTTAGGCTGTCGATTGAGAAAATGATGCATTCTCGTTGGTCGATGGATAACTCTGTTATAACTGTTATAGCGACAATGGCTGTGATTTTGAACATTTTTTAAATATAACATAAAGATGACCAAATCTTACTGAAATATTGTTGCATGGACAGAGTGACATAAAAGTGACATAAGTCACATAAAATGCGATTTGAAAACTAAGGGACGAGTTGTCACTATTTCGTTGAAATCGGTCTCGTGATGATTTTTTTCTTATAAGGAGATATTATCAAGCAGTATGCTGAGATACTGACAATATCTCTTAAATGGTGTACATCACAGACAGGCACATACACCCACATCTTTCCAAAACATGCAATTTTATTAAATTTACTTGATTTTAATATCCACTATATTTTCTCTATTAGAAACACTTGTGTTTATGAATGCAATGATAAAAAGACATCATTTGAATCTTACTGTCCATTTTTGGTAGATGAAATATACATATAATATTTTGTGTTGTAGATGCAAATTATATAAAAATCCATTCATTGTTGAAAATAAAGTATTTAACATTAATTATTGTGGTACTATGTACACACACCCTATTATAGTAAAATATTTTACTATAATAGGGTGTGTCTACATCACACGTTACAATTTGCAGATAACATTAGCGTGTAACAAAGATTGTGATAAAGGCCAGAGTGGTATAAACAAATATAAGTGATTACTTGAAATCGATACCAGGAAGGAGGGGGTAAAGAAAAGTTATATAACATTTTATTATTTAATAATTTATTAAAATACATAAGTTTGTCCAACTCTCTGTGCTTATCTCTATGGGCCCTACAGTTAGACGACTTACAGCCAAAAACAATAAATAAATAACTCCCGTGGGATCAGAGCATGTATTATAAAGATATAGGTTTTGCCTAATAAGTGAATGTAATTGCAAGTAGGTCAATCCATCGATAAAATTGATCAAGATGTCTGAGAATCTATGACATACTGTATATGGAAACACATGATTTTGATATGGGCATTTTTAAAACATGCAAAGACACTATACTTGTAAATAAAGGGCACTAATGAGGCACTCTATGAATGAGGTGTTTCTAGAGGTCGGGGTTTGTCTCGTCTGCAGTTGAATAATTTTTGCTTTGATTTTCTTATGGTTAGATATTTATTTAAAAGATGAGCGAAATCCCAAACTTGAGGTGGATCTTTTTTTCTGGCCATGACGTATATATTGTACATGTTAAGATGGTGGTGTGGGGGCGGGGATGTGGCAGTTATGTGAAGTGTGAGGGGTTAGGGTTTTATTTAAAAGATGAGAGATTATAAATTCGAGGTGACGTATAAATTGTAATAGTGGCGTGGGATGTGGCGGTAACGTGAAATGTGAAGAGGGGAGGATAGGTTAAGGTTGGGGTGAGGGCAAGGGGTAGGGTCAAAAATGTTTTCATGGTAGAGCGTGCGCGAGTTATTAAGCAGATTGTTATTGGGCAAGTGTTTGGGGAATGTTGGTGGGGTGTGATAGAAGGGGAGAAGGTAGATGAGTGAATGGGTAGACTGTTTATGGGGGATAGTGATAGATTGGATGGTGGATTTTGTGGTGGGTTGAGAGAAGGAGAGGTCGGGTTGGAATGGGGTTGAACATGGTTTGGGAAAACGGGAATGAAGGATGTGGCAACAGAAGGTTGCAGGGAATAAAAAGTGTGAAAAACAGCTAAAAAGAGACAAGAAAAAGATAAAAAACCAAGTTAGGTGCAAGGGTGAGAGAATGAGTGAGCGTAAAGTGTGTATAGGGGAAGTATTGATGGAGGATTAATAACAATTTAGGTGCTAACCGAGGTTGAACAGAATCAAAAGGACCTAAGAGGGTAAAAGATCTGAAATTAAAAGGGAATACCTTCCTACGAGTTGAACACATAAGTGAAGAGAAAGACTACGTAGGGGGTATATAGATTTGGAGCAGATGAGTGTCGGTCAAAAGAGGAAGGGGTAGTGGAGGCACACGTCAGGTTTCCCGGACCGGTTTCGCTCTCCACGAGCTCATCAGCGGGAAGGAACAAACAACAGAACTGAGCATGAAGCTCCCCAGGTTGTGGCAGTGGGCTTGAAGTTTGTAGAGGGAAGGGAATAGGAAGAGTATGTGCAAAATAACAAAATTGTACTTACCTGTAAAACAGGATACAGATGGTGATATGCAATGGAATGGTGACGACAAAAAGGAGTGTTAGGTGAAGAGCTGGAAAAACTAGAATGAAAAATACAGAACTAAAGAAGAGGAAAAGCGAGTTAGTATGGGTTGGGGTTGGGGTTGGGGTATTTATTTAAAAGATGAGAGAAATCCCAAACTTGAGGTGGATCTTCTTTTTTTCGGGCCGTGACGAATATATTGTTCATGTTAAAATGATGGTGTGAGGGCGGGGATGTGGCAGTTATGTAAAGTGTGGAGAGGGGAAGTCAGATTAGGGTTAGGGGAGGGTTAGGGTTAGGGCTGGAGTGCGAAGGTAGTGGAGATTAAAGGTCATTAGAGAGTTGAAATTCAATGACTATGGTTTTAGAGGTATTTATTCTCATGGTGAGTAGGTTGGGTAGAGGAATTTGTGTCAGGAGTGTGGATGCTGTGGATGGTGGTGGAGAAGAAATGGTTTGGGTAGGGTAGGGGAGAGATATTAGGAAGGAATAGAGAGAACTCGATCTATAAATGTTGAGGGCTGTGGAGAGGGCGTAGCTGTTAATGTGTTGAAGGGGTGGATGGGAATTATTAAGAAGTTGAGTGAAGTTGGTGAAGGCTGGATGGATGCGTAGGGGAAGTGCATTTCTAAGATACTGCAAGGTTTGGGTGCGTATTGATCCAGTAGATGGAATGTAGGGTCACAGTATTTGGGAGTGGGAGAATTGAAGTGCGGGGAGGAGAAAATAAGCAGGGTTAGGGTTAGGGTTAGGGTTAGGGTTAGGGTTAGGGTTAGGGTTAGGGTTAGGGTTAGGGTTAGGGTTAGGGTTAGGGTTAGGGTTAGGGTTAGGGTTAGGGTTAGGGTTAGGGTTAGGGTTAGGGTTAGGGTTAGGGTTAGGGTTAGGGTTAGGGTTAGGGTTAGGGTTAGGGTTAGGGTTAGGGTTAGGGTTAGGGTTAGGGTTAGGGTTAGGGTTAGGGTTAGGGTTAGGGTTAGGGTTAGGG